TAGCGTACTAGGTGTTAGGTGATACTAGACTTACTCAATGTTTTAGTTGAGGTATGAGAATTATATTAGTTAGAGAATTATATACTCATACACACAGACACATATGTAACTTTGAGTAGCAGATAATTTAAAGAGTTTTTAGTTTACGAAAATATTTTTATTCCTTCTTAGAATTGCTTACCTTGAAAAGCAAAGAGTGCCTCTAAAGCCTCTACTTTACATACACAGGAAGGCAAATATGTGGATTTACTCTGTCCCCATTTTTGTGTGTTTAAGAGAAATAAATTTTAGAATTAAGGAGCAGGTCAAGATAGGAATGGAACTTACAGGTACATCTTGGAGCAGGTTGCCAGCCATTGCCAGTGCATGTTGCAGTATTTCCATGGATTGTAGGATAAAAGCCAGTTTTACACTCATAACTGATTTTATCTTCAGCTCTGTATTTGGTTAATTCAGGTGTGTAAAAACCATTTGGAATATGAGGAGGATCACATGTTTTTTCTGAAAAGAAAAAGGTTATGTGCACAGTATAGATATCACTATCCATTAAAAACAGTCAAGTATATGAAAATAAAAAGGGGATGTTATTTATTTGTTCTTAGCACAGCACCAAATGTCACTGAAATGAGCACAGGCTTCCTGCTGTAGCACTCATATTTCCCTCCACTATATTTCTCTTCTGATGCAATCGTGCCCTCTGGACTTTTGACCCCTCTTTCGCTGAAGTCAACACATACTGCATGATAGTCCATACCTGGCAATGAATTCATGATATGTCACTTCAGCTATTCTTTCCACTTCCTGCGAGTCCCTTGTCTCCTGTATTTCTCATAAGTACTATTTACAAATATTCTGAGTCTCCTTCCTTCAGACACATAGTAGGATAGCACACCCTGCCCCTCTGAAGTAGACACAAATACATGGCTTGCCCAGGACAATAAAATGAATGTGGAAGTAATACGTTTTCCTTCAGGGAGGAAGTTGCAAAAGCCATTGTGTGAATGTTTATGTTCTTTTCCCCAGAGCTGCAGTGATCAGGGAAGAACACGGAAGGATGATGTCTCTATCCCCTGAATAGTGAGCAGAATCCCTACTGATATACACTGGAATTGAAAATGAATAGGAAATAAAGTTTATTAACCCACTGAGATGCCACTGAGGTTTTGAAATACATTTTTCTTACTATAATAGCATAACCTAATCCAGGGTTTGAAAAATCTTTTATATAAAGGACCAGATCAAAGGTTTCTGTTGCAACTATTCAGCCCCACCCTTGTATTGTAAATGTAGCCATAAACAATGCAAAACACATGGGCATAGCTGTGTTCCAATAAATTCTTTTTTTACAGAAAGGAGGACAGGCTGGATATGACCAGGGTCTATAAAGGGCTATTCCTGGACCCAGTCGGCCCTAATGTGTAAAGCTTTCCTCAGTCATCTACGTCAGCTTTGCTGTATCTCAACAAGGGATCAATTTGTAATATTTCTTTCCTAATAAAATCCCATGACTTTAACTATTGTAAGAGAATTTTGTTAAATTAATAAAGAAGAGAAAAACTTCCAGTGATTACTTTCAAACAGTGTATGTAAAACTCTTGATAAAATTTTAATTCCCTACTCAGTCTCCATTAAAGTAAATAATGCTATTACAATATTGCCAGGGCAAGGCCGCAATTCAAAAAATAATAATAACATTTGGGGCTTTCCAAAAGTGTGGGACTACAACTTTTCTACTTTTAGAAACAACCATTAAGCATTGGAAATAAAGATAATTACTTCAAGGCCAGCACTCTGTGTTGTGAGTCAGTAGAAAGTCCAGTCTGTACAGGAAACAGACAGACGTGGATCAGAGGTGGCTTTGTTTAGCAGGTCTGTTTATTCCTGTGAATGACTTGTTATCAGAGACTGTCCCTTCTTGAATTCAGAGACCAACGTCTGACAAATCACCCTCAAGTAAAACCCCTGACACATACAAATCATAGACCAGACGGAAGACAATGTGTTTTATCCTAGATTATTTTATTTCCTTTTATTATTTAGTTCCAAATTTCTTAAATATTTGGAGCAAGTTAGATATGTAGATTTAGAACTTATCATTATCAGCAGGCAGATCTTTCCAATGTGCCAGGAAAATAAGAAATACCTGTATCATTAGCTGAGGTACAGAGAGCGGAGTTTCTTTTAATCAGAGACTTCTGCATGTCTAGTCAATGTAGAAGTCACTGCAGGAGAATGAAGCATGCAGTAAGAGAGAGTGCATGCTCATCTGATTTGGGGTGAGCCATACTTTATTTATATTGATCCTTAGCAAATTATCTTATGAGAGAGAGTACCAATCCCCATGCTGGCATCTAAAGAACGTAATGCCCTAAAGCAGACAGTCTTGAACTTTTAAGTGATGCCCTGTGACTGAGAAAATGAAAAAGAAATTCTAAAAGGAAAATGTCTTATAAATGTGGAATCTTGTGTGTGTGTGTGTGTGCGTGTATGTGTGTGTGTGTGTGCATGTAAATAAGTCAAGTTTCAAGAGATATAAGCCTAGGAATTGTACTAACACATATGGAAAAAAATAAATTTCCCATTGCTAAAGCAAATATGTTCTAAGCAAGAGTTTTAAGTAGGTAGCTAAGTGACTGTGATTATAATATGGTCATAATATATATAATATATTATAATAATTATAATATAATGCTTATATGACTTCCGTGAAAAAGTCATGTTATCCTGAGTCCTATGTCCAAGTAAAATTAAATTCCTGAAGCCTGACTTTGAATTCATTGAAACATTATTCTCATATGTATCCTCAGTACAGGAGAAGAGGCCTCCTATAAAATAAGTGATTTATAAGCAATATTTTGCTGATTGGATGGATAAACTATCTAATGCTGAAGAGGGCTCTGAAAGTAGAATATATGGCAGAGGTCAGTGCCAGAGAACGTGTGCCCTACTGTCTTTGCTCAGAAACCATGAATTTCATGAAGACAGACAGCTGGACTCCACACACCGTCACACACAGCCTCACACAGATCTCACGTGGTTGTGTAACTCAGTAGGACGCTGTGGGGCTTCGGGGAACATACCCCTCCCCCGTATCGTCTGGTGCCCAAGAATTCATAATGTTAACCCCTGTGACACTGCCTGTTACCTTCCCAGTAACCAATCAGAGAATTGTGCACAAGCTGACAGCACAGCCCGGGACTCCCCTCCCTCATCTGGGCTTTAGAAGTGCTTTGCTGAAACTCCTCGAGGGGTTTCACCTTTCTGAGCACTAGCTCCTCCGGACTCCTTGCCGGGCACCTTATAACAAACGCTGCACTTCCCTTCACCACAACCTGGTGTCAGCAGGTGGCTTTACTGAGTGCAGGCTGGCAGACCCAAGTTTTGTTCAGTAAGTTTCAATTGTCTTGTGTTCATTAACCTCTTTCTAAAATACCGTCTAACAATGCCAGAAAGTAAAGGTCAATCAAGGGTGCGGGAGGGTATTTCTTCCAGAGCTGCTCATGGGCTCAAACAAAAAAAAAACTTTTAAGAATAAAATCAACTCAAAAACTATCTCTAGTTTTTGTAAAAGAGGATCACCAAAGCAAGCATTATACATGTTATTATGAATCACGTGATTTAAAGTCAAGGGCTCTTAAGAGGTGAAGGCCACAGTGTGGCCATACCTGTAAAAGTCGCCCTCTTAGGTCACGTGCCTCTGAGGTCATGTGGGATAACACTGTTACTTGTCTTGCTCAGCCCTCATCATAAGCTAACTCACTGCTTTTCATAAATGTTTGCAAATAACAGTTATTACCATGCTGTTGCTGTATCTTCTTGCTCTTACGGTTTCTTACATTCCTCAACTAGCGGTATTGTCCCTTCCAGGCTGTGACAGCTGGAACCATCCCTTTCTGAATGAGGCGGGCTAAGGAGGACACAAAGCACCAGACACGATTCCTGGTGGGAAAAGAGCCCAGTGGAGACGAGCTCTTCGACTCTGTGTAACATCCTTCCCTCATGAAGCCTACAAGTCAGGAGTAGTTTTCAGCACCGTCACCACTGTCGATCCCCATGAAGCCTCTGGGTAAAGAAATGTCCAGTTTCTTCTATTTAATTCCATTGTCAATGAACACTCACCACATCTGGTGTTATTATAATTTAGTTTTTAAACCTAAATGCAGGGCTCTAGGAGAGCAATCTCATTGTTTGAGAAGTATACACGTCTGGGAATTAGGAAGCCGATTATAGTCCTGGCTCTGCTCTAGATTTGCCTTGTGACCACAGACCAAGGATTAAACACGCTACTGAACTTCTCTGGTCCTGTGTGTGTCTGTCTTCAGAGTGAGAGCAGCACACCAGTCGGCCTCACTATGGGCCCTGCACACATAAAGTGTGAAGATATACTGTCTTTGTAATAGTTTTTTCCTATAAACATTAATACTCCATTGTGAGACACAAATAAATTGCTTAACTATAAGGTATATATGAATTAGAACAATTGGTAAAATATGTAGAAAAAAATACAACATTACCTCTACATGAAGGAGCTGGGACCCATCCAAATTTAGTGCATACGGAGTCCCCTCTTTCACTGTATTCATACCCACGCGCACATTTATACTGCATTCGTTCTTTTGCCTTATAAATTCCCTTTGGAGATACAGGATATCCATGTGAAATGTCTGGTGGTCTGCAGGCAATTTCTAAATAAAAGGGATTAAATTCCAAAACGTGTGTTATATATTAAAGGGCTGTGTCCCAGACACTCACATAAAGATACAAATTTTGTTTCCATTAGGTAAATCAGGCAACCAAACAAAAGTCCTGTTTTGACTTGTTTGCTTGATGAATAATTTATGTTTTTTTAACCTTCATTATTGAAAGAAGTTAAAATTCTGATGTAAATTATGTTGCTAATTTAGTCAGTTTGGAGATACATTATTCCTCTTGAAATAAATAGTGACCAGTAATAGTCATCAACTGTATATATAAAATCGAATACAGAAATAGGCTTACTGTGATAAGTAAGTACTTTACAAGAAGTAAACCCCATCCACGAACCTCTAGAGTATCCAGTAACTGCTATACTGAATATAAATGTGTCTGTCATTATTGACTTGAAGAACTAATTTTGCAAGAAAGAGTTCCCAGGGAGAGGAACGCTTAGCTCTGCATCTCTTTGTAGGGTAGACTAGATGAAGACAGTATAAATGATTAGAGGAATGTAGATAATGTTAAAAAATTAAATGTGGCAGCAATGTCTGCCAAACAGGTATCTGTAAAATGGAGTATGGTACTTTTAAATAAACTGAACATAATCTACTATTACAAAATCCAAAATCATCATATTGGTCATGAGACACAGGTCAACAGTGTTACAACTAAAGAAGTGCTGACTTACGACTTGGCATAGAACTTTTTATTTTTAAGACAAAGATTTGTTTAATGAATTCATTCAGTTCAGCAGTATTTATACTACACTCACAGTGCAAGTATAAAACAGGAAAATTTCCTAGAAGTGTTACTCAAAAACAGAATATCATCATGATGGATCAGTAAAAATAAATAATGAATGTTTAGTTTTTCAAAAAAAAAAAAAGACCTAGTCTCAAGGCCAATATTAAAACTTGTAACAGAAATCCTTAGGATTTTATTTTAGTCATAAGAATCAACTACAATTTAATTATGGTTAAGAGCATGGATCTTGGTGTCAGCTAACCTAGGTTTGAACCTTAATGACCATATATGCCATGCTAATTTTGGACATGTGATTTGATTTCTTTACACCTCGATTTCCTCAGTTATAAAACAGAGGTGAAAACAGTACCTACACTGTAGTCATTTTAGAGGTAAAATGAGGAACCTGGGAAGAACGCAGATCAATCCCTAGGAAACAGTGCTGCGTAAGTGCTGTGACTGTCAGTGTCTGCAGGTTCTGTAGGGCGCATGGTGTTTTGAAAAGCATACTTTCATGAGAAAAGTTAAAGTCATTCAAATAATCAAGTGAACAGTACATGGATCTTACCCACACATTTCGGTTTTTCTTCACTCCACATACCACCTGTTGAGCAGTGTATTTGTTTAGGTCCATCAAGCATGTAACCTGAATTACACTCAAACTGTACCACTTGTCCAAAAGTGTAATCTTGGCTTGGTTCCTGGGCACCACTGAGAATTCCATTCTCTGGTTCCGTTACTGGTGAACACTTAATAACTGAAAAAATAAATATAGCATTTTCTAACAGAAATTGAAGACTTTATCATGAAAAATAAGTGAATACATATACATGCTTATATATATTATGTGCATATATAATCAATAGCAAGATTGGAGGAAATAGCTTATTTTTTTTAAGATGCATTTGATATACCTGTCAGCCAGAAATAAATTCTACTAATTAAAAAAAAATCAGTAAGTTTATTTCTAATTCTTTTCTATGGGAGTGAATGAAGAAAATTACTTTTTTGAGTTTTTGAATGATAGTTCATATTTTTTGCAGTAGCAAACAAGTGTTTCTTAAATAATTGAGAATTATAAAGTTTGGGATAATTAAAACAAAATTTCCATCTAAGTCCCACAATGATATAAAATTGTATTCCTAAAAGGCATAAAAGCAAACCTTCTGATTATGTTTACTTCAATAAATAAATAGTCTTTAATTTTCCTTCTTCCCCTCCCCTTCCTCCTCCTCTTCCTTTCTCTCTTTCCCTTCTTCCCTCTTTCCCTGCCTCCCTCACCCACCCCCGCATTGTTCCTTCTTCCTCACTACTCACACCTCACCATGGACCTAGGAAACAATGATTCTTAGTGATCTCTTCTATTTTCATGATGATTAGAGATCAGAATTACTAATTCAAAACTTGGGAACAGGATGTATATTTTCTCATCCTTTATGGATCAATAAGAAAGGGCAGAGCTCTTCCTCACTTCCTGCCTCTTGTCAGGAGGACTAAGACCAGAGGAAGACTCTCCTTGTCAGGCAAGAGTGGGAAGGCGTCTAAATCACATTCTCCACTCCAGCTATTACCAGAGATCCCTGTGCTGGGGTGGTTATGTGGGGGACTGCCTTTTCATTAATAAAGCTGAAAATCTCATCTTCATTTTGATGTGATATCTGTGTTTTTTCTAGAGGTTAGAATCCAAAAGGAAAAAAAACTTAATTTTTTTCATCTCTTATGCTTCTAATATTAGATCAGATGAGGCTGTATTTATATTTGGTTATTGAAACACATAATACTGTGGCAATAAAAAGATTAGACATCCACTCTATACTACAGTAGAATACACAAAAATACTATGAGGAAGAAATATTTAATTATAGACTTTCAGAATATTTTAATGTAAGATATTTCAAAAAATCCTGATATTTTAAGTATATGTTTTAATATCCTTGTAGATCAGTTTTATATCTACCTTCACATACAGGAACACTGTTGCTCCATCCATTTGTTTCACATTCACGGAAATTCAGCTCACCTAGCATCTGATACCTGAAAACCAAAAATAACAGAGTTGTGAGCTAATGTGTGTTTATATGCAGTTTTAAGTGTGATACTATTCCAAATGTCCAGAAACTCCATTTCAGGGAAAATTAACAGCATATGCCTCCTTCCTTTCTTTTCTTACTTAAGGCCCTCAAGCCCTCAGGTACATGGACTTGGAATAATCAGAATCCTTGGTTGACGACACAAGCTCATGATTGCTTCATGGGCAATGCACATTTACTTTTTCATTGAGTCAATTAATTGGTTACATTTAACAACTTAACAATCTCCATGAACCAAAAACAGAAGCTAGAAACTGATAGTTACCAACAGCTACCGTACGCCACCCTATCCAATCTTACTCCGAACTCCTCCTTTCCACAATTGTATTATTTTCTAGACTCTTTGGACTTTTTCCGTATCAAGCATAGTTCTAGCAAAAATTTCTTAGTCTGTGGTTTATTTTCAGCCCGTCTCCATCACTCCACCTCCCTCCCCGAGATTCTTTCCAGAGCGTGGTCACCGAGTCAAGTCTGCTTGTATAAGCTGCTCAGGGTCGAATTCTAGTAAGTCATCAGGCCTTAAAATTGAAAACGCTGTACTTGAAGGCAAGCTCTTTGGGGCAGGGGCAAAGTGTGCAGTCATCGCCAGAGGCTTTAGATGAAGGCAAAGCATCCTTATTATAGGGGACAGCTGAAGGCAAAAAAAAAAAAAAAGAAAAGAGAAGAAAAAGAAAAAAGCCCAAACTTTCCCTCAGAATAATGGAAGGCATTTGATAACCACAGAACTTTGAAAAAGGGCCTTTCATAAACTTCTAAATTCTACACACACCAATGTTTCCTTCATCTGCAAATAAGAGCTGTTCCGCCCATTATATAAGGAACACAAACCAACTTCCTCCCTCAAACAACACTTCCTCCTTCTCTGACTGCTGTGGGTTTGTTCCTAATTCTCTGAGAAAAGAAAACATTTCAGCAGATGAAATGGGAGTCACGGAACTTGAAGTCAAACAGGAACTCTGTGCCTCACACGTAGGCACGAAATAATTGGTTATGAAAGGTTCTTCTCTGGCGCCTCTCTTGGTTCCGCCTTATAACAGAGAAAGTTAATATTTTAACGTTATAACATTATTTTCAGTCTGCACCAGGGACCCATCCATTTGCTCACACCTCTTTCAGGGGTTCTGCAAAATTCTACACAAAACCGCCTAGTGTCACCGGTAAAGCCCGTTCACAATTCTGGGGAGAATCCGGGTAACATGTAAAGTCTAACCTCTTCCTTCTCCCTTCGTGCTTGGTCTGGCTTCACTGGCCCGCAGGGGGCCGCACGCAGAGCCCTCCGCCCAGGCCCTTCACACCAGAGCTCCCGGTGCAAAGTGGCGGCGCCAACGCCTCGGCGCAGGTCTTGTGTGGAAACGCCGCCCCTGCCACGCAGGACACCGGGACTCAACATGGCGGAGGCGGCTGTGTGCAGGGACGCTGCTGCGC